TGTGTGTGTGTGTGTGTGTGTGTGTGTGTGTGTGTGTGTGTGTGTGTGTAAGCATGCCACCGAAGACAATTTGCAAGAGTTTGTTCTCTCCTTCCACCTTATGGGCCCTCGAAGTCAAACTCAGGTTGTAACATTAACAGCAAGTCCTTTTACTTGCTGAGTCGTCTTGCTCTGACCCGTTTGCTAAATTCACTCCTGGTTGGCACTTTCCCGCCTTTAGTACTTTACACACGTCTTCTCTCTGCCTTCTCACCTCTGTCACTTCTGAAGAGAAATTGGCTATTAATATCATTGAAGAATATGTTTTACTAAATTAATTGCTTCTCTTTTGCTGCTTTTAAAATTCTGTCTTTATATTTGCCCTTTGGGGTTTGATTGTAATGGATCTTGTAGCTTTTTATCTTATCCTGCTTGGAGTTTGTTGAGATTCTTGGATGTGAATATTCATGAGTTTTGTCAAATTTGAGAAGTTTTCAGCATTAGTTCTTCAAATACATCTCTGCCCATCCAGCTCCTCCTTCAGTGTCTCTCATGAAGAGTGGCAGCCCACCTGCCACTAGCCACAGGCCATTTAGACTCTACTTTCTGCTCTTTAGAAAGCTTGTTTTTTCATACTTTCTGCTTGTTTTAAAAGTTTCTGTCAAGAACTTAGTCTCCTAGTCTTCCATCTTACTCCAAAGGCTTCTTGTAGAGCAATTCAGACCCTTGCAGGGAGATATTTCTGGGTTGATTTTAAAAATTCAATGTAATTGAAGAGCTTTTCCTTTCCTTCAGCTGAAGAACAATATTTTTTAATTAATAGTAATAAAACCCCCCACAAAACATTTCAGATTGCCAGGTAATAAATAGATAGCGCTTTGTTCATTTAAGACAAAAGAAGCCCTCAAAACAAATTGTAACAACTTGAAGAAGCTGAGAGAAGACAGGAGGGGAGGGGAGCAGGAAAACACATTTGGTGGCTGCTCTCTGGAAAACCGCTACAAGCTGCAACATCTTACAGTAACTGCTCAGCCATCTTGTCACTAGGGACTTACCAGAACCAAGAGATCTGATGAAGGCTAAACCAAAAGACAAGACTTTTTGGCATTATTGCTTTCTGAATAAAGTGGCTGTCCTTTGCGTAGAATTTTTGCTGTAGCTGACTCTCTTTCTGTTGCATATTTGGGAATTAATTCCCATAGTTGAGAACAGTTTCTTTCCCCTATGTAAACGCAGAGATCCACCTTTCTGCAATTATCTTTACCAGCGGGTATTCGGTCAGTGCTTAGGGTCCAGGCATAGACTATCTCATTTAAGATATGATCTCCAAGGACATAGAATTACTACCTGCCCAAGTTGCTGCTCTGGTTTTACCTCACTCAAAAGACTCTTAACTCCTTACACTCACCTTCACCTCGGTTTACTGATGACTTTAGTTCAGGAAATTTATGGCTGTGTTTTACTCACAAGGACAGCAAAAGAGATAATTGTCTGCAACCCAGAGGAAGACCCACAACACCCACGAACATAACGTTGATAACTGCATAACCTGGAACTCACAATTTAGAGGGCTGGGGCAGTAAGTCTAACTCCAGACATCGGCCCATTGAAACTACAGCATTTGGTGTATGTGCTTATCTGATCCAGAGCCATCAGCTTCTCCCTGACTGTTTAGATAGGTTGCCTGGTTGCCTGGTAGCCTCTATGCATACTGGGAGAAAAGAAGTGGCATACTGATTTAAGCTATCAGTGCCCTATTCATAATTTTACTGAAAATAAACCCTTTGGCTCCTTCTAACCCTCTAAAAATGTAACATGGAGTGCTAACCTTCCCCTCTAGAATCCCCTGATGATTTAATTCCTTTCTTAACTTTCTCCATTAGGAGTTCACTTGATGTGTGCTAGCCACTCCCATAGATGTGTGTGTGTGTGTGTGTGTGTGTGTGTGTGTGAGAGAGAGAGAGAGAGAGAGAGAGAGAGAGAGAGAGAGAGAGAGAGAGACCCTTATCTGATTTTCTATAGGGCAAAAGAATCCAACCCTGGAACCTGCTAGGGCTGGGGAATTGCTGGTTTTAAGGATATATATATATATCATATATATATATATGAGAATGTTTGTAACATGTAGAACAGGGAACAAGAGAGAACAAGGAAGAATAAAGATTGAGAGAAGAATAACCATGGACAGATGATTCCCGTTGTGAGTAGACTTCTTTACTTTTTAATTTATTTTTTGCTTGGTGTTTTGAGACAGGGTTTCTCTTGTTGCTTTCCTGTCCTGGAACTAGCTCCTGTAGATCAGGCTGACCTCGAACTCACAAGAGATTTGCCTCTGTCTGTCTCCTGAGTGCTGGGATTAAAGACATACAGCACCGCTGTGAGTAGACTTCTTTACCCTCAGAGTTGTAGCCCTCCTTTAGCACATCCTGGCATCTTCAATTGAACCCATTGGAAAACAACTAAATACAGTCATTCAGCCAACACTCTAGGTCTGCAAACAGCTCTGCTCACACACCTGGATGCAAAGAGAGCCTGTGGTTTTAGTTTACTTGAAAGTATGTAACAGACTCTTGACTGTGAAACTATGCCTGTGAGGGAAATTTTCTCCTAACATTCCCTTACAAGACAGACATAGCAGTTCTCGAGACAGAGAAGACGGCTGGACCCTCCCTGTATTCCAAAGGCAATTTTTATTGATGTTAGAACAATCAAAGGGTTGACCATGTGGTGGTATGATGACGCCGTTGGAGTGTTGCTGTCTGTGTTCCATTGGGAGAATCCTTTTTCTTCTCTTTCCAGCTTCTAGGTTTCACCTCTTCCACCATTTTCAAAGCTTGTATAGAAGGAC